AAATAAATAACAGTTTCATCACAATGGGAAGTTTGTGACTTCCCATTCAGAGATAACCACCACTATTTTTTTGTCTATTTCGTGACCTATGTACCTTGAATCTTTTTACTTAACTTATATTGTGAGAAGTTTCCCATAAAACCATAATTTCTTCTCAAATATCATGTTTATAGTTACATAATATCTTTGGTGCTCTTTCCTACTTATAGTCATAGATACACCTGAGGATGAAGAAATTCCAAAGGTTTCAACTAAGTTTTTAAAAGAGCAATTTGAAAAGTCTGCCCAGGAAAAGGTCCTTTGTTCTGACAAAGAAGCAACCCCAGCCAAGCAAATTAAGGTAAGACAATTTTTCTACATATTAAGTATGAAACTAGATGTAAATGCATAGCATTTTCAAATTATTGAATGTTTGAGATGGTTTTTCAACAACAAAAATATTCTGAACATTGCTTATTCTGTCCCATAGAAGAATATTATTCTACTACTTGAGGAAAGCAGTAGAGTTAGAACTTTTCTCACTAGAGAAAATAGGGGAAGAAAAAATCGTGTATGCTCTAAACTTTAATAACTAATATTAGATAAAATAATAAAGTCACGTTTAAATGCCAGATACCTAAACAAAGAAAACAACCAACAAAAAAAGTACTTTAAGACTTTTATTGTTTTCTTCTAGATTACTCTGCATAGCACATTAAGTAAAGGAGGAAAAATAACCAAGATTATATGTATGTTAAACTGAGTCATTGATGTATCAAATGGAAAATATAATTCAAATGTGCAAATAGATTATAGGAAAGGCAGTAATGAATACTGAATATTGCTCCTAAGTAGGTTTCTAAATGGAGTGTGTCCCCTGTTGTTCCCAATGGAAGTTTCAAAGCAGATGGACAGGTGAAGAGCAGTGCCTAGGCAGTCTCCCCCATTCTACCCATATTTATAAGATTTGATTTTCTCTCCCTTAAAGATTGAAAGTGAATATGAAGAGATTTTAAAGCCATCATCAACTGTGGGTACCTCTTCCACTTTTTGCACTTCAACCAGCCAGAGGAAGGAAACATTAACCACAAGATATAGTGACCACAGTGCCACTTCCTCAACTCTGGCACAAGTTCATGCCAGTCCTTCGGGAAAGACAGAAGAATTTCCTCCTCCCCCACCTGATATACTTCAAACACCAATAGAGGTGACAGCATTTTCCCAGTCCCCTGAATTGCCCAGTCCTCCTAAAATACCACCAGTCCCCAAAGAATTATATTCCAAGCAAAGAAATTTGTACGAATTAAACCGTTTATATAAACACATCCATCCTGAGTTAAGAAAAAACTTAGAAAAAGATTATATCAGTGAGGTTTCTGAAATTGTTTCTAGTCAAGTGAACACAGGGAGCTCAGTTTCAGCGGATGTACAACAAGCCCGGTATGTTTTTGAAAATACAAATGACAGTTCTCAAAACACTCTTAACTCAGAAAGAGAACACGTGGAGTGGGATGAAATTCTGAAAGGAGAGGTGCAGTCCATAAGATGGGTCTTTGAGAATCAGCCATTAGACTCTATCAACACTGGCTCTCCAGATGAAGATAACGTCTCCAAGGGCATCGCTGATCAAGAAATCATTGCTGGTGGTGATGTGAAATATACCACATGGATGTTTGAAACCCAACCCATAGATACACTGGGGGATCATTCTTCTAGCATTGAAGAAGATGCTGAAAAAATTCCCGAGCTAGCCAGAGGAGACGTCCGCACAGCCCGGTGGATGTTTGAAACAAAGCCGTTAGACTCAATGAATAAAATGCATCAAAGTCCAGAGGAATCAGTGATAACTGCCGTAACAGACATAACTGGGGGAGATGTCAAGACTGTGAGATACATGTTTGAAACTCAACATCTGGATCAACTTGGGCAGCTTCATTCAATGGATGAGGTTCACCTCCTGCAACTCAGATCTGAGCTCAAAGAAATTAAGGGAAATGTTAAGAGAAGTATAAAATGTTTTGAAACTCAACCATTATATGTTATTAGAGATGGTTTAGGTCAAATGCTAGAAATTAAAACTGTTCACAGAGAAGATGTTGAAAAGGGTGATGTGAGAACAGCACGTTGGATGTTTGAAACACAGCCCTTGGACACAATTAACAAGGATATCACTGAAATTAAAGTCGTCAGAGGAATATCCATGGAAGAAAATGTCAAAGGTGGGGTGAGTAGGGCAAAGTGGTTATTTGAGACTCAACCTTTGGAGAAAATCAAAGAAGAGTCAGAAGAGGTCATCACTGAAAAGGAAACAATAATAGGTACAGATGTCTCCAGAAAGTGTTGGATGTTTGAAACACAGCCATTAGACATTTTAAATGAAGTTCCTGATGCAGGTCTTCTAAGATCTGAAGAGAAAATAGGGGGTGATGTACAAACTACTAAGCACCTATTTGAAACACTTCCAATAGAGGCTTTAAAAGATAGCCCTGATGTAGGAAAACTTCAAAAAATCACTGCCTCGGAAGAAGAAAAGGGGGATGTTAGGCACCAAAAATGGATTTTTGAAACCCAACCTCTGGAAGAAATTGGAGAAGATAAAAAAGAATACATACAAACAGTGAAACTTGAAGAAGTTGAAAGAGGAGATGTAAGAAATTACACACATATCTTTGAGTCAAACAATTTAATTAAATTTGATGCATCCCATAAAATAGAGGTGGAGGGAGTCACAAGAGGTGCTGTAGAGTTAAATAAATCACTCTTTGAAACAACACCACTTTACGCCATTCAAGATCACCTTGGCAAATATCATCAGGTAAAGACAGTCCAGCAAGAAGAAATCCTAAGAGGTGATGTAAGAAGCTGCAGGTGGCTTTTTGAAACACGGCCCATTGACCAATTTGATGAAAGCATTCACAAATTTCAGATAATTAGAGGAATATCTGCTCAAGAAATACAAAATGGAAATGTGAAATCTGCTAAATGGCTGTTTGAAACCCAACCTCTTGATTCAATTAAATATTTTAGCAATATGGAAGAATTAGAAAGTAAAACTGAGCAAGCTACAGATATTGTTAAAGGGGATGTCAAAACCTGTAAATGGCTTTTTGAAACCCAGCCAATGGAGTCTCTTTATGAAAAAGTTTCATTAATGACTGGCAGTGAAGAAATTCTTAAGGGAGATGTCAAAGCCTGCACTTGGCTCTTTGAAACCCAGCCACTTGATACCATAAAAGATGACTCTGAAGCAACCGTCAAATTGCAAACTATAAAACAGGAGGAGATCCAAGGTGGGGATGTTCATACAGCACGTTTTCTTTTTGAGACAGAAAATTTGGACAGCATACAAGGAGAAGAAGGAAAGGAAATCAAGACTGTGCAACTGGACATACAAGCTGGGGATGTCTCCAGCATGCGGCATAAATTTGAAAATCAGTCCTTAGATTCTATAAATTCCAGTTCAGAGGAAGTTTTGAAAAAGATCAAAATGCTAAAGACTGAAGATATTCAGAAAGGCAATGTTTTAAATTGTAGGTGGCTTTTTGAAAACCAACCCATTGATAGGATCAAAGAAGGCCAAGAAGATGATGAATTAGTTAAGACAGTGACAGACATACAAGGTGGGGATGTAAGAAAGGGGTGCTTTATCTTTGAGACTTTTTCTTTAGATGAGATTAAAGAAGAATCTGACTCTATCAGCACCAAAGAATCAATTACTGAAGAAGTAATAAAAGGTGATGTAAAAAGCTACAGAATGCTCTTTGAAACCCAGCCACTCTATGCAATTCAAGACCGGGAAGGGCATTATCATGAAGTGACAACAGTTAAAAAGGAAGAGGTAATCCACGGAGATGTACGAGGGACAAGGTGGCTTTTTGAAACAAAACCATTAGACTCCATTAATGAATCAGAGACTGTGTATCTTATTAAATCTGTCACACAAGAAGATATTCAGAAAGGAGAGGTTAGTTCTGTCAGATACAGATTTGAAACGCAGCCACTAGATCAGATTTCAGAAGAACCACGTGATATTGTGCCCACTGTAGACCATATTCAAGGTGGGGATGTAAAGACAAATAAACAATTTTTTGAGTCTGAAAATTTTAATAAGAATGCTTATATAAGAACAGTAAGTGTCAATGAAATACAAAAGGGCAATGTTAAAACATCTACTTGGCTATTTGAAACCCACACTATAGATGAGCTGAGAGGAGAAGGGTCAGAATATGAAAATATCAAAACAGTCACTCAGCAAGACGTGCAGAGCGGTGATGTTAAGCAGGCAGTGTGGCTTTTTGAGAACCAGACTTTGGATTCTATTAAGGAAACAGATGAAAGTGTCACAAAAATCACCAAGGAAGAAATCCCTCCTTCTGATGTCAAGACAACTACATGGCTGTTTGAAACTACACCCCTTCATGAATTTAATGAAAATGGGGTACAAAAGGTGGAAATTATTGGCAAAAGCATTAAAGAAACCTTAGAAGAACTCTATTCTCAAAAAGTTATAGAGGCTCCTGGAATCATCATTGAAGCTGATGAAGTAGGGGATGTTCGAATGGCAAAATATAAGCTGATGAATCAAACATCTCCTGAGATACAGAAAGAAGAAGTTATCAGGGTTGATCTTAGAAAAATAATGCTGGGCCTACTTTCCAAAAGAGACTATACTCAAAGAGAGATTGTGGTTAGTGAAGAAGAGAAGGGAAATGTTAATTTGACCAAAACTCAGTTATTAAACAGGTCAACAGAATGTCATGCTGAAAAAGAAGAGATAGTGAGTGGTGATGTGCAACAAGCAATAAAAAACCTATTCTCCGAGGAAAGATCTGTAAAGAAAGGCATTTTAATTCAGGAGGATGAAAGAGGAGATATTAATATGACCATCTATTGTCTTCTTCATGAAAATGCTGGTGATACAATTGAGCGTGAAGAGGTAATAGCGGGTGATGTAAAACGTACCATTCATAATTTGCTATCTTCCATATCAAACTATAAAACATCTGAAAGGGCGAAAATCGATGCCTCTGAGAGGGGAAATGTTCAGTTTTTCACAACATGCATAGAAACTGGTGCTTTGGATTATCTCAAACAACTCCAGCTAGGGTCAGATGAAACAGTAACAGCTCGAACACAAGATACAGAGGAAGAAATAATTGGTGGTGATGTAGAGGGCACAAAACTGTTACTAAATAAAAGGCAGTCTCAGGTTGAACGTACTGTTAATGAAACTGATATCATTCCAGGAGATGTGCATAATACAGTGAAAGTTTTCATGACAGAGCCTCCAAGTACAGCTTGTAAAGCACCCAAAGAAGAAATTGTAAAAGGTGATTTGAAATCAACCCTAAGTTCCCTCAGCCAGGCCATAAATCAGAAAACAGTGGCTAAAACAGAAGAGATTATAAAAGGCGACATGCTGGCCACACTCAAGTCACTTAAGGAATTAAGCCAACCATATAAGGAATCTAAACAGGCCAATGCCATCCCTGATGATTTTGAGAAAGCTATGGAATGCCTTGAAAAGACTGCAAACACAAGGACAGAAATCCTGAAAAAGGAGCTTCTCCGAGATGACCTTGAAAGCTCATTAAGAAATCTGAAAGAAGCACAAAGAGCTTTCAAAGAGGTAAATAAAAAAGGTGCAGTCAAAGAAGGTGTGCAAGCTGCGATGGTAGAATCCTCGCAAGAGCAGAACACAGAGATGCATCAGATGGCTGTCCAGACAGACAGAAAATGTGTTCTTCAGCCAAGACCAGGACCATTGGAGCCAGTAGCCAGGTGGCGAGGGGGTACAGACACTCTCAGCCAAACTACCGGTAAATCTTGTCACGGGAATTTAATAGAAGAAAGAACTGAGGTTGATCTTCCAAAAGCCCCTAAAGGCACTGTAAAGATTGTCGTAGATCGTGAACAAAACAATGATGCTCTTGAGAAAAGCCTTAGAAAACTATCTAATTCACACCACAAGGCTATTAAAAATGTGTTGGAATCAGGCGACAAAATGGGTAGATGGACTGATACGACAACAGAGCAGCATCTTAGAGATGAACATATAAGCAGACAATTGACTTCAACTGTGTCAGTTAAGGAAAATCTAAAAACTAAGGAATCAGAGACAGTGAACAAGCAGAAGGATGCTGTCTTTAACTCTACCCAATCTATTGCTAAAGCAGTTGGAAAGCAACAGACTCAAACTTGCAAACTGAGGAATGAGCACCAGAAGACTGAGTCTTTCCCTGTAAAGAGCTCTAAAAATGTAGAAAACAGTAAAATATCTATAAATACACAAAGCTCTACTCGTAGTCCAACCCAGGGTCCAGTCAACAAGATGGTTGGAGAAACTGGTGAAGTTTCAGGGGACTTTCAGAAGCAAACCTTATTAAGGCAAGAGATGAAATATTGTAATAAAGATATAAAGAAAAAGAATGGGAACCCTCAGCCAATGTGGCAGACTTTGCCTGTAGATCAAGACATATCAAATATAACAGAAGTCAAAGTCTTCCCAAAAAGCCACAATAAATTTAAGGCAACTGACAAAGAGCAGAAGGCTGATGTTTATCTGAACAGCCAGGACTTTCTAATGAAGACAAATACTTCCACAGACTTAAAAAAGGCAATGGAAATGTCCTTTAATCAAATCGACTTGAACCCTGAAAATAATGTAAAAGAAAGTGAGTGCCCTCTTCCACCTCCTTCTCCACCTCCTCCTCCACCTTCCAATGCATCATCTGAAATAGAATTCCCTCTTCCTCCTCCACCGCCTTTAATGATGTTGCCTGAAAAAAACGGGTTTCCTCCCTCACTGTCCACAGAGAAGTTAAAGGCTGAATTTGAGCATTTCCCAGGCCTCCCTCTTCCTCCACCACCAGAAGATGAGAAAGCTGAAAGAGAATATCAGTCAATGTTTCTACCACCTCCCCCTCCTCCAGCTCCATCTCTAAACCCAGCTCATCTCCTTTCCTCCTCTGTTCAAGAAGAGCACAGCAGCGCATTCGTACAATATTCCCAAGAAGAAGCCTCAAGGGCTCAACAAACTCATTCTCAAGCTAAAATCACAACAGGAAAATCAGGAAAACGTCTGCCACCTCCCACATTACCAAAACCCAAACTCCCCAAGCACTTAGAAGACAAAAGGTTTCATGGTTCCCCAAGAACTGAACTGAAGAATTCCCTGACAGATATGGAATGTAAAATCACTCCCTCAAAGGATCAGAAAAGAGTAATAACAGTGACTAGCAATGAACAAACAGAGACGAAGCAGAACATATCTAGGAAAAGTCTTTCTGAAAGAAAACAATTCTCTATGGGCTCTACAAGGTCTCTCTCACAGACAATTTCAGAAACTTTACCACCCAAGGAAAAACAAGGGAAAACACCTCTCGTCAAATCTCATTCATTTCCTGCGGGTTCAGGACAACAAAGTCCAAAACCTTATATGAGAAAATTTAAGACACCTTTAATGGTCGCTGAAGAAAAATATAGACAACAAAGAGAAGAGCTTGAAAAACAGAAACAGGAGAGTTTTTGCTACAACATAGTCAAACCAGAATGCCCAAGCCAAAACATATCAGAGTTGGAAAAGCAAGTGCTCTTACAAAAAACGCATGAGGCAGTTCCCCTCCCTGGAATGGATTCAGGGGTCACCGTGGCCCAACCCCACCCCAACTCTCAAGTACGAGGAATGTGTACTGATAACACGCTTCCCACACCAGCAGGACCAGTTGCCGCCGAGAGGCCCCAACATGTTCTAGCAGCCTCCGAAGACAAAGGTGCCATGAAAAAGGAAGTTTTACAGAGCTCCAGGGACATGAGACTATCTAAGTCAGCTTGTGACATTCAACAGAGTTGCCAAGAACATAGTACACAGCAAACACAGCCGAAGTATCTGGGGCAGTTGCACTTGCCCCAAAGCAAACCAGCTTCCCCAAGTTTCAAAGTTAGAACCATCAAGCTCCCAACTCTAGATCAGAAATTACATGAGACAGACCACAGCTACGAAAGCCATAAAAAGCATTCTGAAGTTGATGTGCAAACCATTACCAAACAACAGCATCAGGAAACCCAGGAAACAGAAGCAAGCACTGAATATAGTAATAAGCAATCCGTGGCTGAAAAATATCACCATTTGCCTAAGAAGGAAAAAAGAGTAACAATACAATTGCCTGCAGAACTCTCAGGGAAAAGCCGTGAAAGTAAGTGCACCATAGTTCATGAGAAGCAAAGAGACTTTAGAAAATCTGAGAGGGGAACACTTCTAGAAAGTGAAGGAACCATTCAGGGCCCACCAGCCATTAGTCCAAAAGAAGAGAGACTAATAGTTGAAAGCAAACAAGAACATTTAAATAAGTCGGCACAGAAGGTAGTCAAGCAAAAGGTTACAGAGGCACATATTGATTCACAGACTGAGAATTTTCAGCAAACACAAATACAGAGCTCTGAAAGTCAAGTTGAACATAAAAAATTGCCCCAGCCCTACAGTAATCTTCAGGAAGAAAAATGGCTTGGAGTCAAGGGCATACAACAGAAACAAGTCTTTTCTAATACTAAAGATTCAAAGCGAGAGATTACACAAAATAAATCTTTATTTTCCTCTGGGAAAGAATCCCAGAAGGATAATGGGAAATGTGCTATAAATATATTGGAATTTTTGAGAAAACGTGAAGAACTACAACAGATTTTGTCTAGGATAAAACAGTTTGAAGCAGAACCAGATACAAATGGCCTTAAGACATTTCAGACACTGTTAAATATTATTCCAGTATGGCTATTAAGTGAAGAAAAAAGAGAGTATGGAGCTCGCATTACTGTGGAGAATAACATAGAGAAAATCAAAGAAGAAATAACGCATATTAAAACTCAAGCAGAGGACATGCTTGTGTCTTGCGAAAATATAATTCAAACAGCCATGACATCCTCTAAAGCAGGAAAGCAGAGAAATAAACCCACTGAGCTTAATGAAACATTATCCAAAGTGCCTCATGTTAATGTCAACTCTAATAAAAACACTGAGCAGGAAGAAAATGCCATTGTCGAAAAAACACAGCACCACCAAATAGAAACCCATTCTGCAGCGACCACTCATAATCATATGAAGACCCATCAGAAAATTAAATTGGAGGATAGCAAGATTCCCCCTCCCTCCTTAAAAACACGCGCACCATCTCCAACTTTTATCACAATCGAGTCCACCGCCCGGCGAACAGAAACCTCTACTAAGGATGCGCTTTCTCAGTCCCCTGAAAAGGCGAGTTTTGCTGAACCATCACCAAGAACGCCTGTGTCACACACATCTAGCATTCACAGTGCGACTACCTCCCCTTCTCCACCCAGGAGTCGCTCCGAACAACTTGTCAAACTCAAAGACACCACTGCCAAGTTAGCCAGGGGGCCCATCCCCTGCTCCCCAGGAACCCCGGTTCCGATTGTAGAGAAGAGGTCCGAGGTCATCCCCTCGCCTGCAACCCTTCGCCGGCAGATTAAGATAGAAACTCGTGGGAGGGACTCTCCTACGATAACCATACCGATCAGTGTGAATCCCGTGGAGAGGGGCTCCTTCCGAGAAGCGCAAGAGGAAGTGAGGAAAGTAGAGGAAAGGGCGACTTACCTTCTCCAAGAGGGAGTGAATGCCGCCCACGGCGTGGTGCCGGACACGGAGAGTTTTGACTCGGTGGAAATCATCCGCAGGGTGGACGGGCCTCGCCTGTCGGAGCACACGCAGCGGTACGAGGCGGCCAACCGGACCGTGCAAAGCGCTGGGCCGTTTGTGCATGACCCCGACAGTGACATCAGCAGATGGTTCCGGGGATTTGAGGATGGCCCAGTCTTCGAGGCAAAGTCAAATACCAGAGTTTATGTCAATGGAGAAGCAAACCGTAAAGAAAAGCAAGAAAGCCATACGTTTCGGAAGGAGGAATTTGGATTGACATCTTTAGAAAACTCGAGTTTCACAGGCTTTTCCATTCCTGGGGGGCAGCCCAGGGCCCACGCTGAAGCGAGGCCTCCAGGGGAGCTCTTCTCCGGGGTGGAAGCCTTCGAGAGTCAAGTTGTTGGGTCGAAGAGGACAGTGTCTCCATCGCTCACCTCCGAAGCTGGCAAGTCGGGCTTTGGCTTCAAGCACGCTCCGCCCACCTATGAAGATGTCATCGCTGGCCATATTTTGGACATTTCTGATTCGCCTACCGATTTAAGGCGGAATTTTCAACAGACGTGGCAGGAGAGTGAAAGAGTCTTTGAAAGCGTGGGATATGCGACCTCGGATGCTGAGATGAGAACCGCCTTCCAAGAGGACTCTGCCTTCCTAAGTGGTAAATGAGCTTGCAGAACGTGAAGTAAGATTAACCCGTTTAAAGGCACGTGCCCCAGAGCTAAAGTGATTTGCAGCTAAAAGAGTGCGTGGAAGTAACCAAACTATATAACCTAAGACTAACAGCTCTCCCTTGTCGCCAATGTCCTTCTCTTTACAATGCTTGCTTTACTACTTTCTCCTTACAAAAGCATCTACTATGATTCGTCTGTACTGTGTGAAAATAACAAATACTACTACCTATATAGATTATTGAGACTTATATTTGTCAAGGTAAATAAGGGTTTGGATAAAGCAGCAGATATAATCATTGTAATTGTGATAGTATAAATGATTATATATAACTATATACTCATTAGTAATTGTTCACCCATGTGACATTGTTAATATTCCTTATGAAAAGTTATTATTTTATCCACTTATTTAAGACAATAGTAGGTAATATCCCTTGACCTACTATTGATGTATTTTTAACTGCCAGACTTTAAGTGGTGTTTGCGTTTGAATTCAATACAGCCTGGTAATAATCCAAGAAACACTTTATACTCATCATATGCGCTTTAAGGATTTTATTGATTGGTATTTTGAAAAAAAGTGTAGGTATGGAATTAGAACTTTTATATATTTAATCACTGTTATTGAGTTGAAAGGAGTTAACTTTCTCTAATACCACTGGGTGTGTTTTTTTAACCTATACCGTAATTTTTCCACCTTTTGTAAACCCCAAATGATAGCTCAGTTGGCCTCACTCGCAAATGGGCCTGGACAATACATTTTTAAAATTTGATTATATTTGGAAGGAAGAAGATTTAAAACATAAGAACTTGGCCGAAACCGGTTTGGCTCAGTGGATAGAGCGTCGGCCTGCGGACTGAAAGGTCCCAGGTTCGATTCCGGTCAAGGGTTTGGAAGGAAGAAGATTTAAAACGTAAGAACTTAGTACATTTTTAAAAAAATTTATTTTAGAAAAAAAGGAAGAGAGAGAGAAATCAATGTGAGAAATATCAATAGGTTGCCTCCGCACACATCCCAACTGGTGATCAGAACCTGCAACCTAGATATGTGCCCTGATGGGAATCGAACTACAACCTTTTGGTGTATGTGATGATTCTCCAATCAAGTGAGCCACCTGGACAAGGCAGAACTTAGTACACATAAGAACATAGTACATTTTTTAAAAAAATCGATTTTAGAAAAAAAGGAAGAAAGAGAGAAATCAATGTGAGAAATATCAATAGGTTGCCTCCGCACACATCCCAACTGGTGATCAGAACCTGCAACCTAGATATGTGCCCTGATGGGAATCGAACTACAACCTTTTGGTGTATGTGATGATTCTCCAATCAAGTGAGCCACCTGGACAGGGCAGAACTTAGTACATTTTTTAACATCAGAGAACAGCTCATTTATTCATATTTCCCTATATTTTACAATTAATGAGGCTTCACAAGAAAAGGATTTGACATAATTAATGTGCATCGTTAGTGTAGCCCATTCTTTTAGACAGATTGAAAGAAATAGCAAGCTTAAAAATAAAAATTGCTGAAACTAAAAATTATGCCTCTATCTTATTTGCAACATATGGGTCTAGTGTATCAGGTTAATATGATTGTGTAATGTGCTTGCTTCTGGCATAATTAAGCAATTAATTTCAAATTCTCAGTTTATTAGGAAGGTAAAAACATAGAAAATGCACACACACAAAAAATGATATTAAATATAGAATTGTGTCCCCCTACTGCAACCGAATAAACAAATGAGAACTTTCAGGAGCCCGATTGAGCCTCAAAGCCATAAAGTATATATAGGGTATCCCCCAAAAATGTACACACATGTTAACAGCTGACAGCTGTTAAATGAAAATGAAGTGTATTTTAATAAGCACTTCCTTTATAATTATCCAAAGGGTGTAATTTTGGGGGACACCCTGTGTATTTATTTGCATTAAAAAAACTTAAGCATATGTGCTTTTACATATGACTAATATGAAAGCTTAGTTATTCTCACTGGATCATTGTGAGGATCAAAGCAATGCCAAGGTGAGAGTTCTGTGTCAGTTTTGAACCACTAGGCAAACACTGGTTAGTAATATAACTACTATTATTCATAATATAGCTACTATTATTCATAGGCGCTAGCAATCACATGAGAACAGCAGCATGGGACTATAGATACTTCCAAGCAAGGGAAGAGGTAGGGAGACTATAAAAGGCAGCCATGCAAATCCAAAAAGCCCTAAAATATAATGCCATTTAGCTTGAGTACAAATGGCCTTAAACATTTCAATGTAATCAGGAATCTCATTGGATTAAAGTTAAGAATTGCTGTGATAGAGTCAACACTAAGCCATCAAGAAAATATTTAAACAAAAACAATGCCCTCAGCTTAAAAAAAAAAAATAAAAATTGCTGAAACTAAAAATTATGCCTCTATCTTATTTGCAACATATGGGTCTAGTGTATCAGGTTAATATGATTGTGTAATGTGCTTGCTTCTGGCATAATTAAGCAATTAATTTCAAATTCTCAGTTTATTAGGAAGGTAAAAACATAGAAAATGCACACACACAAAAAAATGATATTAAATATAGAATTGTGTCCCCCTACTGCAACCGAATAAACAAATGAGAACTTTCAGTAGCCCAAATTGAGCCTCAAAGCCATTAAGTATATATAGGGTATCCCCCAAAAATGTACACACAGGTTAACAGCTGACAGCTGTTCAATGAAAATGAAGTGTATTTTAATAATTGCTTCCTTTATAATTATCCAAAGGGTGTAATTTTTTGGGACACCCTGTGTATTTATTTGCATTAAAAAAAACTTGAGCATATGTGCTTTTACATATGACTAATATGAAGGCTTAGTTATTCTCACTGGATCATTGTGAGGATCAAAGCAATGCCAAGGTGGGAGTTCTGTGTCAGTTTTGAACCACTAGGCAAACACTGGTTAGTAATATAACTACTATTATTCATAATATAACTACTATTATTCATAGGCGCTAGCAATCACATGAGAGCAGCAGCATGGGACTATAGATACTTCCAAGCAAGGGAAGAGGTAGGGAGACTATAAAAGGCAGCCATGCAAATCCAAAAAGCCCTAAAATATAATGCCATTTAGCTTGAGTACAAATGGCCTTAAACATTTCAATGTAATCAGGAATCTCATTGGATTAAAGTTAAGAATTGCTGTGATAGAGTCAACACTAAGCCATCAAGAAAATATTTAAACAAAAACAATGCCCTCAGCTTAAAAAAAAAAGGATAAGTACATATTTTTGAAAAATCTCTGCAGAACGCTTTAAAAAATAAAGCTTTGAACCAAGTGAGAGGTAAACCTTTATATATGTGGAAAGTTTAGTTATCTAGAAGGATAAGTGCTCTCGGGACTTCCCATGGCTGAGTTGACTATATATTCTTTTTAATGTATTACCGTTAGTGAACATGTTTTGCTCATGTATACATCCTTAAATAATAAAAGTCAACTTGTACAATGTATAAAATAGTAGAGACACTAGAGTAAGGTTGTAACAGTGTCTCAGACCCAATGTTAGATGGGCTTATGTCCAGAGAGGCAATATCAGGACAATAGTCTTAGAGCTTTCTACTTTAACTGCATGGCCAGTTGGTATGCTGCTGCTGTTTGTTTTGTTTTTACGATGTGATTGACAATAGCACTAAATAAGCTTTTGTAAATTTTTATTTTCAGAAACTGCTACTCCAAGACAAGGAAACATGTATACTTTGTCAAAAGACAGTTTATCCAATGGAGTGCCTCACAGCAGACAAGCAGAGTTTTCATAAGTCCTGCTTCCGATGCCACCACTGCAACAGTAAACTGAGGTAAATGTTGTGTGGTCTGTGGTACAAATATCCAGCAGCCTGCAGTGTACTTATAACATCACGTCCCTAGGAAAATGTAAATTTTTTCCAGATCTTGCTGCCATTAGTTATCACACAACCGCAAAAGGGATGTGTCATGTTCCTTTCTGCTTTGCTCAGGTTGGCTGTGACCATCTTCCTTTTTGAAATTTTGCTTTCCCAGTCAAATAAAGAAGGGTTCTTTTGTGTGGATGTGGAGATACTATAGATAAGGAAAATTAAGAGTTACTGTGCAAATCGGAACTTTTAAGTTACTACTTCAGTCTAAAGTCTAGACGCTACATCAGGAATCAGCAAATTTTTCCTGACTTTTAAGTTACTACTTCAGTCTAGACGCTACATCAGGAATCAGCAAATTTTTCCTGTAAAGGTCCAGATAGCAGATATTTTCAACCGTGCAGGTCATGCTGTTTATGTTGTTAGTCGACTTCCAATGGAGTTGGAAAGCAGCCACAGATAACTAAACAAACAGGTGTGTCTATAAACTAGTGGGCCTAGCTGTATTCCAATAGAACTTCATGTACTGAAACAGGTGGTGGGAGCTGGAGTTTACCTATGCCTGGGCTATTCCATGTAAGTAGAAAGAAAATAATTTAGAATAATATCAATGTAAAGTCAGATAAATACTCTGTATATTCTCTGGTGAAACAGAAGACCTTACCAACACAGTTATAAATGCACTCATTTTCCAAAACTCTTGAAGTAAGTGCATTGCAATGAATGTGGCATTTGGTGTGGCTATAGTCTGAAATACTGAAATGTAATTATTTTCTCAATACAATGTGCATCTTTCAGACTATATCTTTGCTGACTTTAATCAACAATGCCAAATACTCCTCTGTGGAACATTTTCCCCCTTTGTTTCCATGACACCAGAGTATAATGGTTTTCCTCTTACCTTTGAGTGTTCCTTCTCCGAATCCTATGTGGGTGATTCTTTTTCTGTCCATTCTCCAGATGTTAGAGTTTCTTAAAATTCTGTTCTGGGCATTTATTCTTTCTCACTATTTATATTCTTTCTTGTTTATCACATCCACATTCATAACTTAAATCATCATCCATGTGGCAATAACTCTGAAATCTGTGCCACTAGCTTAGCACTCTCTTCTGTGTATCAGACATTAATATCTAAATAACTAGTATATTGCTCCAATTAGATTTCTCATAAGTATAGCAAATTTAATATGCCCCATTATCTTCTCTCTACCAAAATTGTTTACTTGACTTCATGGTCTCTATGCTACTCTCTCAATAAATAGCATTAATATTAACTCAATGCTGAAAAATGAAGTTACATTTGACTACTTTCTCTCCTTCATTCCCTACACCCAAGCAATGACCAAGTCCTATAATTTCTGTCCTTCTTGAGCTCTATACACTTTACTCCATCTCCCCGGACCAGGTATCTTTCAAGCAAGTATCATCTCTCACCTGTACTAATGTAACAGCCTTTCTAGCAAGTCTGTCACCCTGCCTCCATAATATCTCACTACCATCACCACCAACAACAACCTACACAATGCCATGCTCCATGGCATAATGCAAATGATCGTTCTAAAATGTAAATCTGAGGTCATTTTTATGAAGTTCCCTATTTAAAACACAATGGCTTCCTCTATCAAAAATTTAACATCTTAATGTGAATTAAAAGGCACTTAAGGATCATGCCCCTGCTGATCTCCCAGCACCTCTTCCTACCATTGCATGTTACTTTTCATGAGACTGAATTTTTTTTAGTTCCACAAAATGATTACTTTACTCTCTCATATCTATCTGGTTCCAAATATCATTTCCACTCCTTGTAGGGGTTTTCAAATGCCTCCCCTCCAGCTCTCCACCAGGCTAATACCCAGTAATTCTTTATATTTCAACTGAGACTGCATGTCTTTGACAAAGCCTGCTATGACCCCCATATATGAAGCAGGTGTCCTTCCTCTGTGCTTGCTCCATCCTTAACACAGTCTAATATAATTGTCCCCAATGTAGGAAATGTGTTAATGTTTGTCTTTCCAACATCTAGTAAAGGCTGACATATAATAACAGTTCAAAAATTTATTCAATAACTGATATTTATAAAAATCATTGTACAAAGAACCACAAATGCAGAAAGCCAATCAAAGCAAGTATATGGCTCAATAATTATTATAAAGTGGCCCTGGCCAGGTGCTCAGTCAGTTAAAGTGTTGTCCTGATATGCCAAGGTTGTGGGTTTGATCCCCAGTTGGGGCACATACAAAAATCAACCAATGAATGCATAAATAAGTGGAACATTCTCTCTCTCTCTCTCTCTCTCTCTCTCTCTCTCTCTCTCTCTCTCTCTCTCTCAAAGTCCTTCCATGTTCCCCACCCAAACATAATTCACTCTTTCTCTCCTGTGAGTAAATGGTATCCTTTCCAGTATCCTTGCATTTTTATAGTTTTTTACCCAGATGTCCTTTCCTAGATACTATACTTTAGTTTATTCCATGTTTAAAAACTTTGATTATATGGCTTTTAAATTTTTTTTAAGCTATAGGTTTTCCATCCATTTCCTTCATGCCTTGTAATTAATCTGTGAAGAATCCAGGACATTTGACCTGTAGTTTTCCACATGCGCCTTTCTCCTCTGTATTTCTGACAAATTGTCACCTGAATCTAGATTTTGGTTTTTGTAAAGTAAGGTTTGATGCCTTTCACAAGAATATAGGAAGTGTTGACAAGAGTACAGTAATCACATATGTCTGTTTGTCTGTTGTTTTGTGATCATAGCAGATATTGAAGCGATATTCATTAATTGATGTTTGCAAAATGTTGATATTCTATTTTTGTTCCTTCTTTTTCATTACTAATTAGAATATTTGTATAGGAGATGCTTCCCCTCATCTGTTATTTGGTTACATGGTGGTAGAGTTAGTGGAGGAAAGGCAGAAAAAAATGTATAAATTTTTCTTTTACTTACTAGTTTTGCCAATGTATCAATTATTTAGTCAACAATATAATGAAATGGTCCCTTATCCTTCTCTAGAAGTAACCAATTTTAAAATGTTTTTAATATCTTTATAAACTCACATTTACATATATTTGATCAGGTTCAATCAGATGCAATTACTATTATTACGATGCTCAAATTATCCTATCCCTGGAGAGTGGATGTCCCTTCAAGTTCTATTCTCAGTCTTTTTGACAAAACCTTAGTAGTCTTTGCTAGTTTCCCTGTTATCTGATAGGACTAGTTCCATGCTCATCTACTGCCCCAGGCCTGGAATCAGTCATTTCTCCAAGCCCTGGTTTCTTTCAGTGAGAAATGGCATATCAAGACAATAATTTCAATGCTCTTTCTACTGGGTTGGCCACTATTTCTAAACTTTTTTAGTGTTTAGAGCTAATACAATGATTTTAAACCAGTGTGCTGCAAAAAATTTTAAAACATATAACACCTGACTAGTCAGGGACCCTGATCTCTTTTCCCTTAGATTGTCAAATGAAAAATGACAACAGCCAACACAACAATAACTGTCTGGTGTGAATGCCTTGTCTTAAACCATTAATATATAGGTCATACAACAGAGTTTCCTCTTTTTGGTCACATAGCATAATAAGGTTGCATTTGACAGAAATTCTTATATACAAATCCTAGAGGCCCGATGCATGAAATTCATGCAAGAGTAGGCCTTTGCAGTCGTGGGCAGCTGCCTGGATCCCTCCCTCACAGCCATGGCAGCTGCAGCTTAGTCCAGTCTAATTAGTACATTACACTTTTATTATTATAGACTAGAGGCCCGGTGCACAACAATTTGTGCACTTGGGGAAGGGGGGGGTCCCTCAGGCCGGCCTGTGCCCTCTCGCAGTCTGGGACCCCACAGGGGGAGTCCGGCTTGTTTCGTTCCACCTCCCTCAGCCTGGGCCCAGGTTGATCGTTCCCTCAGCCTCCCGGCCCAGCTTGATTGTTCCCGCCTCCCTCAGCCCCGGCCCAGCTTTGCCGTTCCCGCCTCCCTCAGCCCGGGCCCAGCTTGATTGTTCCCGCCTCCCTCAGCCGCCCGGCCAGCTTGATCGTTCCCGCCTCCCTCAGCCGCCTGGCTGGCTTGTTTTGCTCCCAGCAGATATATGCAAATTAACCGCCATCTTGGCTGACAGTTAATTTGCATATACTCACTGATTAGCCAATGAAAAGGGTAGCGGTCGTACGCTAATTACCATGTTTCTCTTTTATTAGTGTAGATAGGCACCTGATTTTTTAAAAAGTCATTTGAAGCAAAAAAGGTAGTAATTGATATTACTATTGTTTTTGTAAACCAACAAAATTATACCAATTTTTTGTCAGATCAGCAAAAATATATTTTTTGGTGTTCTGCAGAATTTTAGTAATTAGTTTATGTGTATCATGAGATGAAAAAGATTGAAAATTGATGAGCTAGTACTATAAATAAAACATCTATATCTATATCTATATAAAAGCCTAAGTGACCGGCAGACTGGCCAACGGGCTGGTAGCTATGATGCTCACTGACCACCACAGGGCAGACGCTCAACACAGGAGCTGCCGAGCAACAGCAGCTTTGCAGAGTGCCCTCTTGCACTCCGGGACCCCTGGGGGGATGTCAGAGTTCAGGTTTCAACCCAATCCCCATAGGCCAGGCTGAGGGACGCCACCTACTGGAGGGATCCCACTCACTCCTCAGATGCACTTAGAGCACAGGTGCAGCCGGCTGGGGAGGGACTGCAGGAGGTTGGTTCTAGGGCATATCTGGCCCATCTCGCCCAGTCTTCCCCACTGGCCACCTTCTAATTAATTTCCTTTCAATGTGCACGAGTCTGTGCACTGGACCTCTTGTGTATCATGATTTTGTAGTGATGTTTCTAAATTGAATTCAAAACGATACTGCTTTTGCTTAGCTTCTTTATGAATCTATACATCTTCCACTTCATTACTTCTGTTTCTCAAAGACAAGGAGATAACAGAATTAGAATATCCCATATTCATGTGGACAATAGTTTGGAATAGCAAAACTATCAGCACCACTAATTTGATTATTGAAACATTAAAAAATTGCATTTGCTCTCCAGTCACACCTCATTTTTAAAAAAATTGATGTATTATATCTTCAGTGTCATATTACACATTCATTCCATATCATATTATTTCCTTCATTTCTTCTTAGTTTATTGGTAACAATATAATACACCTTACTACCTATCAGTCCTTATGTTGATGTTTCTGTAGTCATTCTGGTTGTTCAAGCTTATTTTTTGTAGATTCCTCAGAAACAGCTCATGGAAACAATATTCCTTGAGTTATTTTTTATTTCTGGAATGTAAGGGTTTTTTTTAAATTAAAGTATAGTGGACATACAATATTATATTTGTTTCTGGTGTACAACATAGTGAATTGACATTTATGGACCTTAAAAAGTGGTCACCGCAAGAAGTCTAGTAACCATATAAAGTTACTTCAATATTATTGACTGTATTCCCTATGCTGTACATTACATTCCTGTGGCTTATTTACAAGTTTTTATATCCTAATAACAATTTATCTGTGATCTATACAAGGGAAAGTCAGTTTTGCTGAAAGTAAAATACTTGGTTTACACTTCATTTCATTGAGTATTTTAAATGCATTATTCTATTTTCTTCTGGTATAATATGCTGTAAATCCTATATAATAAAAGCCTAATATGCAAGTCAACTGAATGACAGAATGACCAGTGGACCAACCGGTCACTATGACACGCACTGATCACCAGGGGGCAGATGCTCAATGCAAGAGCTGCCCCCAGCCCACAGGCCGCAGGCCAGCTAAGCCATGTGCTAGGGGGGCTCCCAATTCTTCCTGCCAGTCGCCCCGCAGAGGAAAGCGACCAGTGGCAGAGGAAGGCAACCTGAAGTGGCAGCAGGGTCGGGGCCAGTGAGCGGGTGGCCCCAGGCCAGCCACGGTAGGTGCCAGCAGGGGCCCCCTGATCGCCCTGCTGGTCACCCCACAGATCTGCCCTGATCACTGGCCAGGCCTAGGGACCCTACCTGTGCAGAAATTTCTTGCACCAGGCCTCTAGTAGCTAATAATACTCTAACTTATCTCCTTTGTAAGTCAATGCTCTTTTTTTTTCTTTTTAGATATACAAAAGGTTTTTCATTTTTATTTAAAAGGCTGGTATTTTTATTAGAAAAGTTCTTAACTTTGGTCATTCTGGGTCAATAGTGTCTATTATCTAGTGTGCATGTTCAGTTTGTAGTTTCATACATTTTTATATCAGGGAAGTTTCCTTAAATTATAGCTTTTTAGTATTTAGCCTGTTTGGTTGCTTTATTTTCTTCTTTTGGAACTCCTATTATCTGCACATGGATATTTTGTGCCTATCTTTATATTTGTCTTTCAAATCCTTATCTGTTTTTTTCATTTCTGATTGTAATTTTTTATCTTTTTTTCTCTTATTTCTCTTAAAACACTTCTATTGTGTTTATTTGCTCTTATGGTTCTTTTTTAAAAAAATATATCTTTATTGATTTCAGAGAGGAAGGGAGAGGGAAAGAGAGATAGAAACATCAATGATGAAAATCATTGACTGGCTGCCTCCTACACATCCCCCACTGGGGATAAAGCCTGCAACCCAGGCACATGCCCTTGGCTGGAATCGAACCTGGGACCCTTCAATCCTCGGGCCGATGCTAGCCACTGAGCCAAACCAGCAAGGGCTCTTATGGTTCTTTTAGTTTACTTTTTATTGCTGACATTTTTCTCTTGGGCCGATGCTCTAGCCACTGAGCCAAACCAGCGAGGGCTCTTATGATTCTTTTAGTTTACTTTTTATTGCTGACATTTTTCTCTTTTATTTCTTCTTATTCCTGACACCTCACTTAAGACTTTTTCTAATTACAATTCTTATATTCTTTCAGGTCTTTTATCATTTTCTCAATGTCTTCAAGCTCATTTTGAAATAGTTACAATTTTCACACTTTGAGAACATGTTTTTTTTAGCGGGGATAGTATAATGATCCTACTCTTTTATTTCTTATAACAACTTTGTGTAATATTTGGCTTTGATGCTTTTCTGTTGCTCATTTTTATGTGGAATTAGTTTTCCTAAATCTTATAAGGAGGCAAATCCTGGATGGTTTTCCCAACTTCACAAAGCTGCCTCTTCTGGTATTCATATTCTGTGATGGCTTGACTTCTGGGATTTCCTGCCTTGGTTCCTCTCCTCCATGTTAGTCAGGAACTTCTTTTTTAAATTCCGTCATCATTATCCAACTCAATTTTGATTCCATATCTTTTTTTTTCTTCATTGTGGAGTCTTGTTTTAAAAGGATATTCTATGTGTTATTTCTTAGTGTTTGACTTCTGCCGCCTCTTCAGTCTTTTCTAGCACAGACCCTGTACTCGCTGGCTATTGGAGAGGGCAAAACCCCTCCTGGTTTCAGCTGCTGTGCTCTGATTGGCATGTGATACTTTCCAGGAAATACTGCCTGGCTCTTTTGTGGTCTTATATTTTCCGTTCCATCCGACACCTTCCTTGTTCCCTCTGCTATTACCCATACAGATGCAATTATCATGCTAGTCTCATAGTTGCTGTTGGTTCGTCCTTGATTCCTTGCATTTGGGGGCTGGTGAAGATATCTTGTCACTTAGTTTTGTTACAAATTTTATCCAGGGGTTTTGAGTTTTACTATCTAGTTGATTTACCTGTTTTTATATGGAGATTCAGAAATATTAAAAAATTATGCTGCTGCTTTGGATTAAATTTGATTTTAATTTTAACAGGTACTCTGTTGATCTCCCCCAAAAGGCCAGATAAATGAGTGCATAGGCAAGCTTTCCAATTCATTCAAAATCCAATTACCAAGGAAATTCAAATAGTTGAAGTTTGTGTGTGCTGTTTAGGATTTATTGAAAATTGCAACTCCTCACATAAATCACTGAGTTCGCAAAGATTAGTCCTATCGTTTTACACCAGCTATAACTACATATGCATTGCACTATAATACCTATTATGCCAATACCTAACATACAGCATGACATTCTAAATACTACTAGACATGCATCATGTAGAGTATTAGTGGTAACTATTATCTAACAGGAATGCTCAATTAATAAGCACATATCTATTGCCAGTAACGTAATTGGACTGACTCTCTGACTCATTCTTGAAATAAATAATTTCCAAATTCCCTATGAATTTGCCGGGTATATATGGAATACTAAATTTTTTCTTTTGTTCTTTTTGGCAGTTTGGGAAATTATGCATCACTTCATGGACAAATATATTGTAAACCTCACTTTAAACAACTTTTCAAAGCTAAGGGAAATTATGATGAAGGTTTTGGACACAAACAGCATAAAGATCGATGGAATTGCAAAAATCAAAGCAGCTCAATGGACTTTATTCCTAACGAAGAATCAAATATTTGTAAAAACAGTGGAGCACACCCCCCCATACTTGGAGATCTTAAACATTTAGATGCGGATGACAATGAAAGGCAAAGGGATGATTTGAGAAAATTCAGGGAAAGGGGAAAATTAAAAATTATTTGGCCCCCTTCTAGAGAGATGCCTAAGAAAACCTTCCCCCTTGAGGAGGAACTCAAAATGAGTAAAGCTAAATGGCCTCCTGAAATGACAACCCCTACACCCACTGAATGGAAAAGCGAATCACTGATGGAGCACATGAAAGCTCTGGAAAATAAAGGGCAAGAGCAGGATAACATTTCTTTCCTGCAGTCCTATCTGCAGTCCATCCATATGTGTCAGAAAGAGGCTGTTCTAGGAATCAAAGACAAGGAAACGTACAAAGCAAGAAAAGATGAGAAGGATGGAAATAAGAATGTGCAAGATAAGCTGAATGAGGCTGAAGAGACAAAGAACCAGAGGAAAAGTGAGATGGATCTTAATGCCAACAGTAATGTGGTTGTGCAGAGTGCTGAGAGGGAGAAAAATGAAAAAACTAATGAACCTGAGGGTGCGGAATTTTTCCAGGTTACTAACACTGGTGGTGAGGTGGTGCCACAAAATCACAAAGATAATTTGAATAAGAATAATAATAACAATTATGTAGCAGTCTCGTCTCTGAATAATTGCAGGCAGAAGACAGCTACTTTAGCATTTCCTAATCTATTACCACGGTCAGGTGAAGCAAACTGCACTGCAAGTGAAGACCATGTTGAAAATTTAGAAAACGCATCTAGAATCTCAGAGTTACTTGGTATATTTGAATCCAAAAAGACTTACTCGAGGAATGTACTAGCTCTGGCTCTCAATAAACAGGCAGCCAAAGCCACTGTGCAGTCTGGCCCCAAATCAGGCCTCAGTGGTGGGTTAATAGTAGAGGCAGAAAGTTCAATAGCCTCTTCTGACACAAACATTTTAAACATCAAAGGAAACCGTTCAAATAACAAAAGCCTACACTTCTTCTTTTCTAACACTGTGAAAATTGCTGCTTTTTCCAAGAAGAATGAGAACATTTTTGAGCCTGATTTAATAGATTCTGTAGATCAAATAAAAAATATGCCATGTTTGTACCTAAGAGAATTTGAGAAGGACATCAAACATTGGCAGCATGACGACACAATAGGCGCAAGCCACATCAGTGGAAGCCCAAGTTTCCATGCTCTGAGAAGGGGATGTGCAGCTCAGCCTATGTTTCCCAAAGTGGAGGTCCAGTCTGAACAGCTCAGCGTGGAAGAGCAAATTAAAAGGAATAGGTGCTACAGCGACACTGAGTAGAACAACTCTGGCCACTTCCGGTCCACACTCAGGCACTGAGACATAGCCTTGTCCTGAAATAAGACTTTTGGGATTTTGATAACCTTTTGTTGAACTTGTAAATGTAATGTTCAGAAATCTCGTATCTACCACAATGGGATATTCATTGTATGACATTATATACTGTTTTCCATAATCGGTTTGAATCTACTTTTATTCTGAATAGAATGAAGAGGTGAAACACTATGGCTACGTTTTCCTGTCAAATGGCACTTAAGCATATCGCTCTGTTTTTGAACATGCCAGATAACATCATTGGTGTGATTCTATACTGCTGATATTTATTATAATACTTATACTGTCTTTATAATTTCTGCTGAAATAAAATTAAATTACCTGAGCTGCAAACAAAACCTCTTCTGTTACTTTTTTCCACATATGTTGTCATTCTAAGTATATACATTTTCCGTGATTTAGGAAGTATTTGTCTGGTGGCATGTATTTAATACACACATGCACATGTACACATACACACACACACAATCCTGGAAAAATAAAATACTGAACCAAAGCCACAGTATTATTAGAAAACATAAAATTTTCTTTCTCATTTTAAAAACAGAAGGATTATCATAGTTCTTTAAATAATTGCCTATGTTAAGTTATCATGGAACATGTCTATAAGCATTTAATGAAAAATATCAGTGTTCCTCTAGAATAATGTAGAGTCTGTACTCAGAAATTAACTGAACTGAAAAGGTTTCAGACTTTATTTAAATAAATTATGCACATTGCACATTTTATTACTTACTATATGCAATAGACAAATATACAAACCATACAATATGCCCTGTCAGGCTAGATGCATCACTTTCCTGGGATGACATATAGGAGTTTAAGAAAACTCAAATATGCTTAAGAAATTCAATACTGTTTTATTTAGTAATGGGTATTGCTTCACCCTAATTATGACAAATTTTCCAGCAAAATAAATAGCATTTTTTAGGAACTAAAGTATAGCTAAATACACAAATCAAAAACTAAGTAAATTTTCTTATTGTTGCAGACAGTTTGCCAAGGCTGCCATAACAAAGTACCACAGACTGAATGGCTTAAAAAAACATCAATTTATTTTTTCACAATTCTGGAGCCTAGAATTCTGTGATCAAGTTGACAAGTTAGTTTCTTCTTCTGAGGCATTTCTACTCGGCTGGTAGATGGCCATCTTCTCTCTGTACATGGTCTTCCTTTCACATGGCCTGTGTCTAGCTTTCTTCCTCTTATAATGACACCGGTCAGATTAGATTAGGACCCACTTTAATGACCTCATTTTACCTTAATTAACCCTTTATTAACTATCTCCAAATATAGTCATGTTCTGAGATACTAAAAGGTTAGGACTTGAATATATCAATTTTAGGTGGATACAATTTAGCCCCTTAACAGTAGTAATCACATTTTACCTTTAGGTGTGGTTTAAAATACATGTTTATTAATATTATAAAACAACTTTCCAATCATTTTTCACTTTGGATTTATATCACAGAACTATGTCATATATAGATTCTATACATATAGAATCTGTATATATAATATGCAAAGTGTCCCTACAGGAGTTTGACCGGGAGGCTAAGAGTTTGATTGCTCGCTATGACATGTGCTGACCAACAGGGGGCGGTGCTAAATGAAGGGAGGCCCCGGCCAGCAGCTGGTAGCTGGGGAAGGAAGGCCCCGTCCAGCAGCTGGTAGCTGGGGAAGGAAGGCCCCGGCTGGCAGCTGGAAGGCCCCAATCGGCCCTGATAGCTGGCCAAGCCTAGGGACCCTACCTGTGCACAAATTTTGTGCACTGGGCCTCTAGTTATGCTATAAACACTAATATTTCCAGGAACAACATTCTGTTTCAAAAGAATCAAGATAAGCCTATGGTAGATCATATGCTTTACCAGAGGAGGCTGTGTAATGGCAGAGCTTGGCACATAAGGAGTTTTGCATTATTTATTCATGACTAGGACTTCCAATGAATCTTACAAAAATGTTCTATTCCCCAGAAAATAGTGCTGAATTGTCTTTTACAGCTTTCACACAATCAATCCCTGTTGCAGATTTGGGGCTTTGGGCAGTACCTTCTTTGGATGGAGACAATGGTTTTCCCATAATGCAATGAAACTGCAGAATGCAAACCTGCCACCAGTTTTCTAGTGGTAATGTGCACCTGGCATCTTTCCACCCAAACTAACAATTTTCTATAAACATCTCTAGAGTAATTTCTAAGGGCACATTAATTTTTTAAAGAACTGGAAGATAGAAAAAGAGTACTTTTTCTGCTGTGTTTTGATAGTTCCTATATGACTGGCTACTATCCAATTGAGTAGAAAAGTTTTCCCATTGCTAAGAAAATGAGCTTATAGAAAGACAATCACAGATGTTGAAATGAAAGAGAAGTGCAATACTTTTTTTCCTCTCTCTCTGGAAATGTTATTAAGAACCAAGGGCAATTTCCAAATCTAATGTAAAAGTTTTGAAATATACAGGTATTAAGGGTAATGTGAAATCTTATTTTAGAAAAATTGAATTGACGTGGAGATCACAAATGGGCCAGGAACATGATACTCAGATTCTAAGTAAGAACCATGAGAACCTATGAGAGGTGCTGAAGAGTGCAGAGCCTCAACCACCTGGAAACTAACTCGAATAGAACACAAAAAATAGTTTTGGATAAGCATAATCTAAAAGTAATTTAATCTCACCTTCGGTGGAGTCCCTCAGAAAGGCTACTTTAAGCTACCTAAAAAGATCCATTTACTGTGGAGTTTTCCCCCTGAATTGTTATGATGAATTTTAAAACTTTAGGTATTTGTATGCAAATGAAATAATAGGGAGAAAATAATAATATTAGGATATCTACAATGTTGTCTTTATCATTTAATATAATACATTTTTGTAGGAAGTAACCTGATCTATAGAAAGCCTGACAAATAAACATTATGGTGTCACCCAGACAACAGCCATTTCATAAACATTAGGGAGCCCTTGGTATGTGCTGGCAGAATGATTGTTTTTAAAAAGGATAAATCATGCTTTCATACAACTTCTTATACTGGAAAGAGAGCCATTCAAAAAAAATTACAGTTGATGCTTATGGATATGAAAGAAACCAACCCAGGAAAATTTATAACCACAAAGAGTTCTCTTAAATTGGAAGACGTCAGAATAACAGTAAATAAGATGGAAAATGTTCAGGCTTGAAAGCTGTCTTCATTTTGCCACAGTTATAATTTACGGATGTAATTCTGTGGTTGTGGACTCTATATTGCACAGCCAAGATCCCCCTTCAGGAATGAAGGCTTTACTTTCCCAGGTGCTGGAAGTGCTGCCCACAGAAAGCGCTGAAATTCCAGCCTGAAGACAGCCACCTCTCCCAACTTGGACTGTATTCAATGAGCGATCAATGAGAGGACAACTTGGCACAACTCTGAAAAGTCACTATAGTGTCAATCTCCCTGTTGGGTTGGCTTAGGCCTCCACTGGATCACAACTCATCTTCTCCTTCTATCCAGTCCTGCTTCTTCCCTAACCCTTCACTTCCCTGGATACCAAGAGCACATTCTGATAAAC